TCTATTGGAATGCAATCCAATACGACATTATAGCTCAATTGCACGCTCGATCTGTCGACCCACATTGAATATTGAGGCAAGTGCTCTAATCAACTTTATTTGATATTATCTACCTTAGGTTAATAGCCATAAGTGAGAGGATTTTATCAATATACCCAACACAATTCATGAAATACATCAAATCAATATATAATCAAGAGTCAAACAAACAAAGGAAATAAATTATTCATCTAATCTAATACATAAAAATAGAATCCCACAACGCTCAAGTGATAGAAAGTTTTAGCTCAAAATGAGAGAGTGTGAGAGAGAGAAATACAAGGCAAGTAAAGAAAAAATCCTAGAAGGTTGGGTTCTTGCTCTTGCACTTCAATCTTCAATCCTTGGTGATGGATTTGAAGTCCAATTGTGATTTGAAGCTTAAATTCTCACACTAGGGATCTCATTTGACACTTTCACTCTCTGCCAAGCATAAACAATTTCTCTCTCTAGACTCATCTTCTCAAAATCTGATTTATGCTACTTTATATAGCCTGAAAGTGCAAAGTTCATGGTCACCTGTCACAACCATGAGGTTTGTAGCCAAATCGTGAGGTCGACCGAACACGCACTATTTCACTTACAATCTTCATGGTCGGGGTGTAATTCCGTGAGATTTGCAAGCGACCGTGAAAAGACTTTAGCCTCATGGAACTCTGCAATCCTCACGGTTTTTGTGTCGAGGTCACAGTTGGGAGACCGTGACATTTGCACATGCCTGTGAGACGACATCACCCTCCTAGATTCCATGCAATTTCACGATTTTGATGTAGATGTGTCAGTCTGGCCTTGAGAATATGCGTTGGACCGTGTAGGGGTGGGTAACAGGACAAAACTGGTACCCATCCTATTTGAAACTGGTACCCAGTCCCATTAGGAGAGGAAACTCCATCCCATGTCCCGAACCCGTATTGATTAACGAGTATCCATTACCCATACGGGACGGATAACGAGTACACGCGGGTACCCATATATAATCACAAATCGTAAGATCGGGAATTTGTATGTATGATGAAGATTGTTTGGTAGCGGGTTGCGCTGTGAATGAGCTATTAGTTCAATTCACCAAACTAGTATCATCCCATAATTGGCAGCAACAAAAAATTGTCAAAACACAAACTCATTAATTAAATTACCTTGAATGAGCCAAGGTCCTGCCGCCTGTCACAACCAAAGTGAGAGATAGCCTGTGAGAGATAGCAGTGAGTGCAAAGAAAAGAAGAAACACACACCTATGACACAACAAGCAGCATTCTCCATCCAAGTCGTCATGAGCCAATTCGTACTCTAGAAAGTGTAGTCGGACAAAGAAATGGAAATTATATATAATTTTTTCCAGCTTGCAACCCTTTTTATTAATCTTTAAAACACCATTAGTTGAATTAATTAGCTATCATCTTACAAAAACTGTCAAATTTAGGGATTGAACGAGTAGTATGGGTTCCTGTAATACCACAACGGGTATTAACGGGTAACCCGCAGGTACCCATTATAAAACTTGTTGATCCCAAATCCCATCTCGTAAAAAAAATTACTGGTATTTGGGTACCCGTAACCCTCAAAAAACGGGATGGGTATGGATATACCCAAATACCTGTTTCCCGTTGCCCGCCCCTAGGACTGTGAGCTTTGACACTTTTCACCATTTTTCCCGTTTTGGCTCCCTTTAGTCTGAATTTCATTCTTTTTGTCAATTTCATCTGCTAGGACCTGAAATACACTCAAACATGCAAAACCTAGCTTAGAATGACTTCAAGGACGATGAAACACAAGTCAAACAACAAAGGAAAAGGGGTATAAATGTGTATAATTTGGCTTGCATCAAATCTCTTAAAGAAAACTTTGTCATAACCGGGGTCTAGATCAACCTCAAGGAGGAAGCATCCTATTGGGTCAACTCGAACAAGATGTGCTATATAAGACCTAATGTTATGAAAATCTACCTCAAGTGAGCCATAGAGCACACGCCTCTCTTTCAATAGATTTTGTTGAGAAGTTTTGTTGGTTACACCCACATCAAACTTGCGTTTCACTTCATTCATCAAGTGGTTAACATCCCAATCTTGATTTACCTTAATGTCTCAAGAAATTCAAATGCAATCCACCTATAACCAGATGCAAAAGTCTGAAGTGAATAAGGGCAAGTATGGTGTGTTTCGACCCCTTTCCCGTAAGGGATTCTCATTTGGAAATCAAATAGCATATGCATTCAACCACACAATACTCTTTCATTTGAGTACACAAAACTTATTTCCTTGTCTGATTGCTCATTATCCATCTCACATCAGCAACAATCTGAATTGAGTGGTTCATTACAGCCGCTTGAAATGGATTAGGAGTAGAAAAACGCATATGTGTGGCAACCTTCAATGTTTTATGATTGCACTTTGGATAATAAAACTTCATTTGTCAAACATATAAGGAGTTTCATCATTGCCTACATTCCTCTAATATGAGTTGATTGAGAGCTATGAAGTCAAGATGGGGATTAGATGCGGGAAGGGGTTTGAGGGGTGCTACCACAGAAGCAGTGACTTTACATGGTTGGCCACTGCTGCATTTTGATCGAAAATGGGAGAAAGACAGATTGTTGAGGAAGAAGAGAACAAGGAAAATGAGAGTATGGGGTTGTGGCACGAGCGAGGAGAGAGAGGGAGAAGATAAGATATTTTGTTTGTTATTTAATTTTTTAGTTTAACTTATTTTCATAATTATAGCACCAAATGCACCTCGACATGCCAAGGACCACTCTTACTCCAAACAAAACCCAGAACCATCATGTCGCAAACAAACGCAAGAAATAAAACATGTTGATCATCAACCTTCTCTTTCAACCATCTTGCAGCAACATCGCCCTGTACTTTACCATGCACTACAATCCACGCCATAACATTATTCCCAGCTCTCCTAGATATCACACATGCCCTCGACTTCTTGTCTTAAAAAATACTTTGGTTTCTTTCCAGCCACACGAACCACCACACAACATGAAGAATGTCAGAATTGAACCACTTCTCGACACACTCTGTATCAGCACAGGGCCAATCTTTGAGGATTGTAGCAATATCACCTCTTTGTCTATTACCGCCTGTCATGCAGAACTCGATTCCCCTTCACACTTCCTTCACGAAGTCACACTCAACGAATAAATGAAGGGTAGATTCTTCCTCATGTTGGCACAACACACACCTATTCACTAAGCTCAAACCTCTCCTTTTATGATTATCCAAGATCCTATTATGGTAAACCAACCAAATGAAAAAGCACACCTTGCTGGGGACCGTATTTTTTCCAAACTTGTTTCACCAGAAAATCCTGCACTCCATGAACTTCACCCAACGCCAATTCCTAGTAAAGGGACCTCACAGAGAAGTTCGAATTGGGTTCTAGTTTCCATATGATCCTGCACGGACTATTAGCATTTTGAAAAAACTTCACAGAATTTAGAAGATTAAAGAACACAACCCTTTCCCTCTCAGCACCACCACTCAACGAAAATTTAAAATTACGACTTTGAGACAGCAGCAGCAAGGTGGGGAAAAGAGTCAGCAAGAGCAGTTCTGGGGATCCATTGATAATGCTACATGAGATCTGAGTGCCATTACTAGGATCAAGGCTAGCAAACTTCCAGAAAATGTCATATTCCTTGCTAATATTCGTCCACATAGACTTGGAGAAACCACCTCTCGCACGCCTAGTCTGCCAACATGTTTTTTTTATTAGGATACTTGTATAATAGTTAATTAATTCACATCACCATCTTCCCCTTTCTGCCGCAAATCTCCATAACCATTTCATTAGCATTGCACTATTGAAGGAATTTAAATCATGAATACCCAGCCCACCATCATTAATTCCCACCTTGCACCTTTTCCACTCCATCAGTGCCCTTTTGTGACCTTCAATTCTCCCATTCCAAAGAAAGTTTCTCTATTGTTTCTCAAGCTCCTTTAAAACTGACCTCGGGGCCTTGAAAAGAGAAATGTAGGAGTGCTGGAAAGCACTGACTTAATCACCACCAATCTCGCTCCATAAGACATAGCCCTACTCCCCCAACCACTCAACCTGTTATGATACTTATCCTTTACAGAATCCTAAATCAAGGCATCATTTGGGTTAGCTCCCAACAGAAACCCCAGATATTTGGGCGGTTCATTGCTCCACTTACAACCAAAAATGACAACGAAGAAACTAGGTTTTGCGACAACCCCAACTGTATACATATCTGACTTATCTAAATTGATCCTCAAACTGGTCACAACTTGAAAGCAAGTAACTGCTGCCAACACATTCAATCCCTGTTCATGGTTAGCATCACATAAAATGAGAGCATCGTCAGCGAATAAAAAGTGTGTTACTTCACCCATCTTCCTCTCTTCATTCATATAGAAATCTTCGAATTTCCCAGCATCCTTAATGGTCTTAAGCATGTAGGACAACACTTCCATAATAAATTCAACACGAATAGTCAAGTCGAGAGACAACCCACAGGCAGGGGCAAATTAGTTTAGAATTTTCGACAACACAGAAATTTCACAAAATTCGGACCAAAATGGTCTATTAGTGGAAAGTTTGGCCGAAATGAAGTTTACCAATTGAGGTTAGAAACTGAATTAAACTGTAAACCCAGGCAATAGTTTGATTGAGAAGAAAACTGTTGATGTATGGAACAAACAGTAGCATACTTCTTTCACTACCGAATCATTCATCCCGCATTTATTGGTGTCATTCAGGCTCCGAGATTTTAAGGGCCTCTCCACTATCTCTCCTCCCCAATAGACAATAGTCGAGAGAAGAGGGAAAGAACAGAACACCCTTTTCCCGCTCTTCCCTTTTGGATTAGTTAGTTGTGTGTTCTGAATCTGAAATGGTCAAGAGTCCTATTGGGTAATGGCAGTAGGCAGTAAACATTAAGAGGTGAAGTAAACAAATTGCAGGTGTTAAATTGAGTGATAAATTCATACAACTGCTTGATATTATTAACTCTACCCCCCTTCCCCGTGCATTAACAACAAACATTTTCCAGACTGCCACTCACTGCATTACCACCACTGCTCAACATAAATTGAGGAATAGTGCGAATAAGATTCTCTAATGCTGGACACTGAGCCATGATGGTCAAGATGTATAAATGGTGTATCAATTACAATGTCAGTTTGATATAAAAGATAATGTACCATCCCATTAAACAGGAGTTTGAATTCCAATATCAATTCAAGCAATTAGGTGAGAGATACAGTGAGAAGATGAGCAAGAGTAAACATCTCTACCAGCCAGCAGGTCCACAGTATTCAACAAGAACTACAACAGTTTATTACTTCCCCAGCAAACGACGAGTGCGTTGATTGGTTCTCTTAACACGGATATCTAGTACGTCCACATCATCCTGGTAATGATCCAGAGCCTTGGTTTGCCTGGATTGCAATCACCATCCAAAATGATTATCATGTTACTAAATTTTGCTTACGGATGGAGCACCAAGCAGGCTAAGGGAAAGACAAAAAGGAGCAGAAGCTAAAAACAAAAATTGCACCAAGATTAGATGTTAGGAAGGAGAAGCTCACTTGTCTATTTCAGTTCCCATATCAACAGCCATATCTTTCAGCTCCCCCAATAGGTTGCTCAAATCTGTGAGTCCATCATCCTGCTTGGCATTCTCCATCTGTTTCAGCCAAATTGCAGATAGTTCAATGGTTAATTTTGAGACAACAATCCTAACCAATTGCTATACAGCTCCAAGCTTTGATTACACACAAGTGTTTCTGTTAATATGTTAATAAATAAGTAGTAAAGGCAAGCAGGTTCAGATATTCGTCTAGTAGAACAGTAGCATTTTCTTTCTCGATGCTTCAACTAACTAGTTTCCTTCTTATTTAATCACTCTTTCAGTAAGAAAGGTGACAAACTTAAACACAGACCTCAACTTTCTGGTATGCATTTGTTGGTTCGGCTGGGAGCTTCCATGGGTTAGACACCCCCTTCGATGCAGTACTCAGACCCAACTTTTCCCTCTGCTGAAGATGATTACCTCTCCTTTGAGATTCATCTGCAATCAAGAAACAACTTCATTTTAGTACAGTTTTGAAAACTTGATGCTTTTGTACAACTTTTTGCTAGATGCTTCATACAGCGCCTAACAGCACAAACAGTAGTTTTGTCCTCCTGACACCCTTTCCGGAAGCTAGATAGATGCCCAACTCATAAGAGACCATATAAGCAGAGAGGTAGCAACAGGGTCTCTCTCTTGGAAAACTAGTAGAGAGATGTTTAGCCAAACAGTAGTTCATTATTGAGCCTGTAGTCTTGCACCTCCGTACTTGCTTTCACGTAAATCCGTTTATCTGGGATTAGTATGATAAGTCCAAGTTGTTTATTTTGGATCACAGGTTATGTACTTGGGTCGACATTTTCCTATACAAGAAATAAATCCAAAACTAGTTCTGGAAACAGAAGAAGGGTGGCAGAAGCACAAACCTTTGGTGATCACAGGCCCCATTACTGGACGAGTCTTCTTTGGCTTCCAAGTTTTAGATAACATGCCACCAAGGGATCCTAAAAGTCTTTCACCCTGCAATAGACACCAACATGATCACCATGTTCTTAGATTCACATCATTAGAAACTTAGTAAAATATATACACAAACTGAAGTGTAAACACAAGTATCTAAGAAATTTTCAGACTGCAAAAATCAAGAAGTAAAATTAACAAGCAAAGAAGAATAAAGCATCAACCAGTGTGGCACAATTGGAAACAACAACAAAGTTCTTGCTATAGCAGACCAGCACTCCAAATCATTTGATTCCTTAATCGCCTTCGTATCTTTGCAAAAAACCCATCATCATGCAAATGTCAAGCAGAAGAGTTGCTAGCAACATGAAGTGTGGACATATCTGCAGAGAGCATCTGTCTATCCTATTCTAGCATGACATGATTTCGACATTAGTATATCAATCTCCAAAACGTAATGTTCTCCAACCATAATTTGAACACGTGAATGAAAATATTACTACATAAATTGGTGAAGCAGAAACCATAGCTGCCACAGTGTAAGTGCAAAATGAAATAGCAGTACCAAACAAAATTAGAATTGCAGACGCAACAAATCAAGGTTGCACATGCAGAATGTAAATGAAATGATACATTTTTAGACAGTTGTCGTTATGTGATATCAGAAACTTAACCCTAATTGCTGCTGTTTCAAACTTAGCAGGTAAGTCAGTTCCTATATTGGCATATCTTTATCTATATCACATAATATGTGTTTTAGCAGACTAACCACATTATGGAGCCAAATATATCACTGAAAAATACTTTTTACTCATGTTCCGAATTGAAACAATGAGACATACCCTGATTTATATCACATACTATGTGCTTTAGCAGAATGGTCACAAGTTCCTAAAGACTAACGTCTTAAAGTAGCATTGGAATCACATATATCACTGGAATATTGTTTAACTCATGTTCCAAACATTACTGAAGCTATATACAACCATGTAGTTGGCATAAGTGAAACATTGAGACATACCCGAGAAAGATCATTATCCAACTCAACAGTAACAATGTGCGACCTGGTGATTTGTTCCCCTTGCTGATGCAACGTAATCAAAGTCGTAGAAGCATCCTCTCTTATATCCTCAGCAATCTTCAGGCAACCATTGACTGCCTTTGTGGTCTCTTCAGCTTTGTAAACAGCATAGTTCTCCAACTCTTGCACAGACTGGTTCTCTATTCCTCCTGAGTCGCGAAAATCATTCTTATACTTGTTTCTTGCGGTAGAAGCAACATAATGGGAAGAAGACGATGAAGATGTTCCCTTCTCCTCAAAATCATCAAATGGATTGGTACAAGAGCTTGGTGCAGTGAGGTCTGGCTCTGAAGAAGATCTCTTGGAGGGATTAAAGGTTTTGTTATTACCCAACTCATCATCAGAATCAAATGGGTTACCAAGTGAAGGAGGCGGATATTGTGGGTCAACCTTGCTATGTTTGCCAACCCTTAGGGGAGATTTTGTCAGGTTAAACATATTTTACAGGCAAGGGAATTTCACAGAATTTCAACGTGTAGCAGCTGAAAGAGTTACCAGATCGAAGTCCCTACACATAATACAAAAAATGAAAGTCAACTAACATAAACAGCAGAATCCTGAACTGACTACGATTAAGGTGATGCTAATACTGCCGTTCCTTGTCGCAGTACAAAAGCATCCTAGAAGAAAGAAAGGATTCCTACTAAATAAGAAATCGACTCTGGCGGCGAAGCAACACAAAACAGAAACGGTGAATAGTTGTGAGAATAACCGAACAACCATACACTTAGACAATTTGGGGCTCAATTTCTACAAATATCGAGCAGTTCACCCGCATCAGGTCAGGATTTCTCATTCACGAAACAAGCTAGCAGAAGAGCACAAAATCGGACAACACATATCACACCTTTGGAGTCTCAATTTTCTTCTTTTCGGTTCACCTTCAGACTTTGCAGCAACCAAACAGCAAGAAACCAGGAAATCAAAGAGAGCAAAGGGATATGTAAAGGCAGGGGCACACAAAACGATAGAGTAGGAGGAAGAATATTGTTGACCCAGAAAGCAGAGCGATTAGCGGAAACCCAGACGATGAGAAACAAGTAGCAGGCAAAGGAAGAAGAGTTTGAAGTGAGAAACGGTGAAAGATTCAGAATCTGAGGATCATCTTCATTACCTGAAAGCTTGAATGAAGAAACACAGCCACGAATTGAAGACCCGGTGAAGCGAATTAGTTGCCAAGAAAGAATCAAGGTATCAGACGGACGGAGAAAGAAACTGACCAACTTCGAGAGAGAGAGACAGACAAGGAAGAAAAGAAATATTCGAACGCGTTCATCAACGACTATGAGAAGAGCGGAACTCTCAAAAGCAAACCCAACCAATCCCTCGACTTGGCGTTGGCTCCTCAGGTTAGAGTTAGACATTTCCACCGCCGTTCCTTTCAAAAGAAAATATTTATCTTTCATTCTCCTTTACCAAGTTAAATGAAATTTTTTGATTAAATTACGGGTGGTTTCGATTGAGTATTTGGGATGGTCCATGAAACCATATCGGATATTGTAACGAAAAAGTCAGTGGTATTATATTTTATAATAAAATCGTGGTTTAACCGTAGTTCAAATGTTAGACCGTTAAATACCGTATATCAATTTAGCCTCCGATACTGGTATTTTGTGGTTGAACCGCCGGTACGTTACGGTTTCATGGACCATGGTATTTGGTAGTGTTATTTGAACTCAAATAACATGTTTGGTTGACAAAAAAATAGGGTAAATTGCAAGGTTGGTCACTGGATTTAATAAAAAAGTTCACGTTTGGTCACTAAAAATAATTAAATCCATTTATGATCACTAAAATTAATTAAATGGTTCAAATTTAGTCACTCTCTGTCCAACTCCGTTAACTTTGTTTGATGTTGCAGTCAACATTTAAAGTTGACCGTTAACCGAGTGACATGGCAATTAAAAAATAATAAATTTTATTCTTTCACAATTTCCAGCTCATTTTGATAATAAATTAAAATAATAAAACAGAAAAAATATATTATAATTACCTACACTTCACACTCCGCCGCCTAGCTTTCCATCTCCTTGACCGCCGGCAGCTTAAACTTCCCGTCGAGAAGCTCCGCCAGCCACCGGCTCCTCATCCCCGAGTGAACAGGTTTGTGATGCTCTCAGAGTACCCCACCACGGCCAGCTGCGAAATCCACGTCGGAATGCTCCCTCTGTAGATCGGAATGACGATGTCCGGACTCCCCACGATGATTTCCCCGAAACGTACCAATCGGAAGATGTTATGCAGCTTCTACTCGCCTTACGAAACTCGTCGCCAGTATCACCACGTAGGCATCCAACGGCGTCTCATCCCCAGCCATATCTGGGTCGTCTTTTTGGGCTCCCGGATCTCCGAGACCCACTTCCCGCTCCGGGCCCAGATCCCCCTATGCGCCGGGTGCTTCCCCGAAGAAGGGGAGTTCGGGGAGCAGGGCGTGGTTGTTGGGGTTGAGGCGGTAGTGACAGCTGCCAGCATCTGGGAAAGCCGGCCTGGAGAGACGGTCAGATTTTGTGTCGGAATCCGAGCTGTTATGAAAGGGAAGGTAGGAGTTGTAGTTGTAGTGGTAGTACGTAGAAATATGATTAGGGGATGTTCTTCAAGGGATCCTGCATAATTAAGCCAATTGGATCTTGTAGAAGTACAATTAACTTATAGTATAGTACTTTGTTTTTTGCTCTGTTTCTTTATATGAAAACATAGATGGGCAATCTCCAATCAAGCACAAGATCGATTCACAAAACACGGGATGGTTCCAAACCATAGTTTTCTCAAGGCGGTCAGTACCTTTCTGGTATCGACCGTTACGAAGAAATTCTACTGCAAGGTGGAAGAAAGCTCCGAGGTTTAGCTTCTACAAGCAAGGGATCAAAATCGAATGTGGTGATAAGGATAAGACGTCGTTGGATCCCGACGTGGTGATACTTAGAGATGCAAATTACCCACCCATGGGTAATTATACCCAAACCCAAGTAGACCCATTGATAATGGATTGGGTATAGGTGAAGTGCATATGGATTTGGGGGTTTATAAATGGGTTTGGGTTTGGGTTTGGGGCTTCCATAATCTAAATGGGTATGGGTTGGATATGGATATCCATTTACTTGATGGTGTTTTAACTACACATGCAAAAATTGGACCTATTTGCAAAACTTGAAAAGTTTAGGTACCAAAATGTAAGACCAAACAAATTTAGGTACCAAAACGTATTTTTCCATCGATATTTTGAGGACTTATATGCAAAAAAAATTAATTTTAGGTACTAAATATGCATGTCTATTAAGTTTGGGTACCAAACTGTAATTTGTATTTGGGCATGGGTACAAACCCAAATCCATTTGATATAAACCCAACTCAACCCAAAGTAAATGGGTATGGGTACAAACCCATCAAACTCTACCCATATCCATCTATTTGGATTTCATACCCAACCCAATTGGATTGGATAGTAAGAAACCCATGGGTATGGGCAAAGTTGCCATCTCTAGTGATACTGGTGACTGTTTCTTCGGCGAGAAGAAGCTGCATAACATCTTCCGATCGATACGTTTCAGGGAAATCATCGTGGGGAGTACGGACAGCTTCGTTCCGATCTACAGAGGGTGCATTCCGACGTGGATTCCGCAGTTGGCCGTGGTGGGTTGTACTCGGAGAGCATCACGAACCTGTTCACCTCGGAGATTAGTAGCCGGTGGCTGGCCGAACTTCTCGACGGGAAGTTTAAGCTGCTGGCGGTCTAGGAGATAGAAAGTGATGCGTCCGTAATTATAGTTTGTTTTCTGTTTTATTTATTTTAATTTATTGTGAAAATGAGTTGGATTTATAAAAGAATAAATTTATTTTATTTATTATTTTTTAATGGCCACATCACTCGCTTAACGGTCAATTTTAAATGTTGACTGCCACATCAGACAGAGTTAACGAAGTTGGATGGAGAGTGACTAAATTTGAACCATTTAACTAATTTTAGTGATCATGAATGAATTTAATTATTTTTAGTGACCAAACATGAACCATTTTATTAAACCCAGTGACCAACCTTGCAATTTACCCACAAAAAATAAGATGTGTTATTTGGATATGGTGTTTTGCTAAATACCAGGTTTGAGACTAAATAACACAAAAAATGTTTGTTTGCTGAATACTTGGGGAGGGCAGGTATTTGCCAAATAACAGATTTGAGACCAAATATCACATAACAAATAACAAGTTTTATTATGTGGTAATTGACCCCCAAATACCATATTTGTCAAATACTCAATCCAAACGACCCCTACATGTTTAGTTACTCGATTTCTTAACATTTTTATATTTCACTTAAAAAAAATTCATTTCTAATTAGTCACTCAATTTCGTCTTTATTTCATCGTTGGTCATTGGCTTATGATGTTAGATTTATCGTCCGTGGCGGTATGAACGTTAAATTGATGATGTGTCAATAAAAAAAATTAAATTTAACTTCCACATCATAACCATCCTTCCATTTTCGCGTTTTGGTGATTCCACTAGTTGTGATTCTTCGGTTCAACTTTTCTCTTCTCGTGGGCCTCCAGACATAGCTCAGGTGTCGTTTGGACGAGGAATTCTAGTGGATCAATCTGACACAATTATCTCGTTAATTGATCCTTTTGGCAGAAGAAAAACTGGATGAAACAATTTGGGAGGGGAATTCTGAATTGACTTATTTTGGTTCAATTACAATTATCTAAAATGGTACAAGTAATTTTAATTGACTCGTTTTATAAAATAAAACTATAATCGCGCCTGCAAAAATCAAAATCCTAGTCCCACCACCACCACGAAGAAATCGAGAAATGGGCACTTAAAATTAGAACCCCGCCAAAGCTCCTCTCATTGCTCACGTTCAACACTATTCGCAGGGAAGTTGTAGTCTTGAACTGGGTTGTGTCTCCCGCTCTCCGGTCCACTTCTCTTCACATGAGTCACCCATGTGTGTAAATAACCATACAGTTGCCCAAGACCCACGCCACGTGTAAATAATCCCACTATGTTCTGTGTGACTAAAGTTGCAACACAACTCTTGGGCCAATACGATTGCAAACATGATGTCGAATCCTCATAGAACCGCGTGTTTGATGGTTTTTATCATGACTAGCTAGTTCCAAGTTTTCACCGCAAATGAGTCAACATGGCTCCACCACCGTGATGTTGTGACTTCGCGACATCAATAATTTACGATCTTGTTGAGCTCACGACATTGTTGGACTCTCCAAGCTGTTGACCATCGTAAAGTCGTTGAATTCATGTCATCGTTGATCTCATGACACTGTTGAACCACGATATTATTTATAAAAGGTCAAAATACCCCAAAATCCAATAAGTACTCCAAATTTATCAATATAATACTTAATTTTCCAAAATAATTTTAAATATAAACAATGCCTACACAAATTGGTTTATAAGAATTTATGAACTAAATTGTTCACACATTTTATAGCCTAAAAAAATGGAATTAAACAGTTAATATCACAAAACAACACACCCACGTCATTGCCACACTTGCTGCCGAATTAGGACCAAACGACCATGTTCTGTTTTTAAGCATTATATCAGTCTTCCTTGCATCGTTGTGGGACCCTTCTATGAACACAATTACACACCGCACTTGGATGGTCTCATGGTCACATAGACAAAGGAAAACTACAGGAATCTGGCCACAAGGAATTAAAACGGGTTAATATATTTGTATGGCCCGAACTTTTTACATAATAAATATTTTGGTTAATCTTTTCGATCTATAACATAATGGTATGAACTATACATCAAAGTAACAAAATTGGCCAAACCCGAAAATTGACCGTTATCTTTGACAGTCAAACGCGTTGACTAACAGTCAACGTGCCACATCACCGCCAAATCAGCATCTTTCACTTAGAAATTTTTATATTTTCCACTTATTACTACTTTTTCATTTTATATAAAAAATTAAAATTGAAATAATACAGGGGACCAGAAATTCATTTTTCAATTTTTTTATATTCAAAATGAGAAAAATAAATAGTAATAGGTGGAAAATATAAATTTTTTAAAGTGAAAGGTGCTGACTTGGCGGTGACGTGGCGCGTTGACCGTTAGTCAACGTGTTTGACCATCCAAGATAACGGTCAATTTTTTAGTTTGGACAATTTCGTTACTTTGGTGTATAGTTCAGACCATGATGTTATAGATTGAAAAGATTGGCCAAGATGTTTATTATGTGAAAAGTTCAGACCATAAAAATATATTAACCCAATTAAAACCGATGACTCCTTTGCAATACAATGTCAACTAAAATTTGAGATTGTTGTAATTGTTGTTTTTAGATTTGTGTCAATTTTTCTTTCCATTTATATCCATAATAGTTTTTGTTTTATTCTAAAAGTTGAGGGTAAATGTGACATTTCTCCATAAAGTAACTTTATGTAAATCAATACATAAAGTATAATAACAACCAAATAATGCAATTTTAAAATATATCCATTGTATCAATACATGCATTTATATTATGGTGATTCATTACAATGCAACGATTTAACATCTGCAACTTCCAAACGACCTCGTAAAACACGCACGTTGTTGCTTCGGAAACGACATTGTTTTGTTACTATCACCTTTATCCGTTTTAAGCCAACAACATTGTCACTGTCCAAAAATCTTGCATTTTATTTATTTTCTTAACTATGTAAAGTTTTCCTAGTGGACCTAAAATGACGTTATTGCAATGCGGTTCAAAACTTGCTCCCAAGGTTGATTAAATATATGCATGTTTGCTTGTACTCGATGATTTTGCCTCCAAGCCACCAATTCAGCGGAGTACACCTACACAATTGCATAGCTAAAATTTTCACAATGACGTAGTGACTAGTAGGGGATGCAAACTTGGTGTATCCTTCTCTTAATTGAGAAAAAATAATGGTGCCACCTTGATTTAGCCAAAACGGTGCGGGAAAGGACATTGTGGATAATCCTCAAATCCCACTTGAAGGTTGTAGTGATGACAATTTGAATCGTCCCGCAAGTATTATCCGATATGACCTGCGATGGGGCGGGTATGAGCCGATCCGCAATAACTTGGGGCGGAGAATGAGTATCTACTTCCGATCCGCCCTGACCCGTTTTTGGTCCATTCATCAATTTCTTACAGTATGTAGACATATTTCTCCTATTCTGAGTTTTCTTCAACAAGTTAGAGTCGATCTTTCAACTTGTTAGACTTATTTACTCATTATATTATCACTTTTATCATTCATAAAGTTTTTCCCCTTCGTTTTTTCGTAAAAAGTAAAATTTGCGTGTGTGGGTCGACCCGCCCCGCCCCGCAGTAGTGTGGGGCGGAGCAAGGGTATTGAGGTACCTGCGCCGTCCCATTGCCATCACTAGAGGGTTGTCCTCTTGGTAGTAGCTGGATCAAAACAATCTTGGTGCTCCGCACTTCACAAGTGGTTGATGAAGAAGTTCTCAGGATGGTTGCAAGTAGCTCTTCACCTTGTAGAGCTCGGCCCTCCGGAGTGAGCAAGAATCCCGGGGGATATATCCCCATTTCCTAAGTGAACTCATTGAAACTCATTGCCCTTGGTTCCCCTCCAAACGAAAAAGTGATCGTGCTCGCAAAGTCTCGGTTGATGGTGAGAATTGAACAGTTAATCGTGGTGAGAAACTAAAGAATTGGCTTTGCATAGATCTTCTCATTGATGGCTAATAGATTAGCCATGCTGGATCTCGGATGAAGACTCATATTTGTTTGGATGCTCCCAACTCTTTTAGGATCTCCCAATCAAAACAACGATGCACACCATAAGTGCGGGTGGCAAACCGTTTAAATTCCTCTTTTTTTCCTTCCCTTGGAAATGGAGATAGGAGTGAGGCGCTCTTTGCCCGCCCTTAATTGAGGCGGAAGACTCTGCAACCTTCTTTGTCTTACCCATGCATTTCTGCAAATAGAGTTTAAACAAAATTAAGACCTTTGGTAATGGGGAATGATAATGGAGTAAGGCAAACTCGACCCAAATAAGAGTTCCGAACACAAAAGAGGAATGACAATGATGAGGAAAGTCTATAAAATGCAAGCGTTAATAGGAAATGAGATAGGAGCATGAAATGTAGGCCAAAAGTTCATTCAAGTATTTCATCGAACACCTTGCCAACGTGGAAATGAGAGATGAAAGTAATATTGTATTGAGATTAGAAGACATCTTTAATTAGAATTCAAACACTCCCAATCACAATTAGCATTCATATACCAAGAATTAGAAGAGTAGGACCAAGTATCATTCATAGAAAGAGAGTACATTCAAGTCATGGTAGGAGAGGTTGCATGAAGGTGAAACATTCAAAAGTTACTTAAAAGTTAAGTAAATTTTTACCAACCTTCAATGTACCAATTTGGTAACAAAGTACACTTAAAGCAAGAAATTTGCTCTTGGATGGTATGCCAAAGTTGAGAGAAGGAAATGTAGAAAGGAAGGCGCAATGCGCAAATAGTAGCTAGTAGTTGAGGGGGGAAGAAAAGTGAACAAACAGGTCAAGGATGGATATTTAAAAACCGAGGGCGGTCAAGATTGCAGGCAAGCCCCGCTAGATTGCTGATGACACCTAAAATACACATTTTTCACCAACACATTTTTCATCAACATATTTATATCCTAAAATAACCTAAATTATATTAAGTTCATTCGATTTTCCAGTTTTACGCTTGGTTTTGTGTTTGAGTATTTTTCAGGGCATTATATCCAAAAAAAACAAAAGATCGAGGAACATAGAGGAAGAAAGCAAAATGATGGTTAGGTTTTGAAATCTGGCGTCGGTGGAACTCGAGCCCGCGACATCCCGGGCGAGGGAAAAGAGCCATACCACTCCAGCCACGTCCTTTGGTGTCATTATACAAAACATGCTGACTATTGTTGTGAAGAGTCAAGTGACGATGCAGAGTCAAACCGCAAACTGCAGAGTCAAATTACTGTTGATAACTGAAGGAAAAGCTGTCAAAAGGACCAACGTGGGCAGCAACATGACCATGTTCCGCGACCACGTCAACATCAATACACTCGGCAACATGAACATGTTCAAAGACCATTTTTTGGTCAACACACCTTGGAACACGACCGTGTTCCATGATGTGTTCACCAGCAACACCTCCAATTTCGTGCCACGTCGAAGAAAGAATTAAACAAAGAACATGGGTACCAACATGGCCGTGTTCCAGGCCGTGTTAATCATCTGCCCACGTGTCACATTCATTTTTTGGCAGAAGATAAAATTTACAACGATGTCAGTCGCTGTATTGAACACGGTTTGTCAACACGATCGTGTTTGGGGCGTGTCGATCAATTCCAGCACGCTTCAATCATTCAACCGACAGTTTTGGCTATCTACAAGGGAACACAACCAGGAACACGACCATGTTCTCTCACACGTTCAGAAGAGAACTCGCCAATCAGTCTCTACAAGTACTTACAAGTTGTTTTGACGACCAGCTATGAACGGGACCTGTAACACGACCGTGTTCTAGGGTGTGCTCAGTCTACTGCGGACTATAAATAAAGCCTTGCAAGAGAAGAAAGGGGAGCTGGAAAAAACACCCTCACTATAGCCTAGAAACCCGCCCAAATTCTGTCCTCCTTATTTGTATTTCATTTCAAAGTGTTGTTTTCATTTCTCGTCAAAACTCTCATTGTTTTCGTATTAATCATCATTATCTCGTACTTCTTCCATCATGTTCTTCATGTTCGTGTTCATATTTGGGAATACAGTGGTATATTTCGTTAGTGAGATTACCGAAGTAAGCTTTTGTTCTTTGGGGTTTTGATAATCGTATGTGGCGGTAGATTGGTCGGTTTCCACCTTCTTCGCCCAACGAATATTCCCCCGTCAGAAGTTTGCTAGGTGTAATCTATTAACTCAATATACATACCGTATTCTCAACCCCTCCGTTCTTCATCATCATCGTCGTCATGATAATGTTCTCAACCTTCTTCTTTCTAAATCTCATCATGTCCGGCTAATCTTCTAGTTATTCCGGATTTGATGAACCTTAATATGTTTTACATGGATTGAGTGGTATCTTTTATATAGACGTGTTGTTCTCGTTCTTAGGATCTTTTCTCGACTTATCATGTGCAAGTATCAATAGTACGCGTCTATTGTATATTTTGTCTGATACATGTAAATGAGACTGCGAGGTAATTTTGCATGTTAGATCTCTTGTGAAAAGAAGGAATTGATCGGAGCCACCGGCGATGGGGTCACGTAGTTCCTCTGGATTAGCTTAAAAATCTTATACGAAAATTCACAAATCTGGTTAATGCTTTGGTTTAAGAATCTCGACAGAAACATCTTATTTCTTCTTCCCTTCCCATACCAAAACTCGAACAAAGCTTCTCTTCCGGCGACCCTCGTCGCCTGCCCTCTAAACTGAGCGGCCGACCACCGACGACTCTCGCTGGGCCTTCCCTCTCCATTCCGACCCCGTGCCGGGTGTGGAACCCAGCGACAGCAGCAAAAACAAAGCCGACTCCTCTCCTCTCCGCAGTGCGCCACCTCCTCTCCCTCCTTGATTTTCTTTCAAAATTCTCCAAATCAGGTCAGTAGCTCCATTGCCCAACACTCCAGAATGAATAAACACGGGTTGCCCTTCATTTCACCATTCAATTTCCACTTTAATCCACAAATTCGGATTTAGGGTGAAATTAGGGTTCTTGGACAGAATTAGGGAAGTCGAATTATGTCCAAAATAATCCAAATTGTTGCCAATTGATGATAGATTGTAGCGCACAAGTGCCTTCTCATGCTTCTGAATGCTCCGATTTTAATTGAATTGCTTCAATTTCAAAATTGGAAAATCTAGTGTTCTAACACAATTCCGATTGGGGATTCTGCAATCTATCTCTATTTGGATGAACTAATGCTGATTTTCTGACCTCTTCCTTTTCAAATATGATCTCAATAATCATTTTTCATTGTGTATGCAAAATGAAGCTTGAATTATGATTTTCGGGCCTATAATGCTAAAGTGACGTGCTAGAATCCTCCTTTCCATATTCAACTTGAAATCTGATACTTAATTGTTGTTGGATCCTTTGGTATACCTTTTGGATTCAAATCTATTTGATTCCAGTTATAGTTGATGAATGGAATTTTGTCAATTGATTGAGGCATATAAATATACGGAGCTCATGCGGAAATTTTGAGACAATTGTGTATCTAAGGGGAAATTTCTGCATATCTTGCCATTCCCTGTTCATGATCTTGTTTTGCGGGCCATGGCAGAGGATCCAGACAGACATGGGTACTTGAACTTCACCCTCCCTTGGCAGGAAACTTGTTACCAAACTTTAAAAAGAAAGAAGATAGGAGAAGCCAGATACATTCATTGGCCGACCCTCGAGCAAATACACAGAGATGGGGCAGTCCGTGAGCTACTTTCCACAAGGAGGTGGAGTACACTATTTGCCATTCAAGAGCCAATATATGCCAACTCATGAGGTAGTATATATGCACAATGACCGTCAACGCTGTTGCAGCTGCCAACGATTGGGATGCACCAGATACAATCACGTTCAGACTCATGAATGAGTCCTACTCTCTTAGCTTTACTGAGTTCAGCCTTCGTGGCGGTCTCTACAGTAATGACTACGTCACCATGGAGGAGTACAAAACGCTCCCGCTGGAAGATCCGAAGACAGATATTGGTGTTGCCGCCATTTGGGAGGAGATCGCGCCTTCTAATACAGACACTTCTAATCCGACGATAAGCAATGCAAGCGATATGGTATTCCACATCAGGTACATCCACCACATCTTGGCTTATTCCTTTTGTGACCGAGGAAACGCCCATGGAGTTGTCACTCTGCGAGATATTTTCTACCTCGACTCCATGCTGCATCAGATGGTATTTGGCTCGATACCAGTTTCGGGAGAGGTGCATAGGGCACATCAGGAGTCGGAGTCCACCCGACCATTACCGAGCTCTACCAACTGAACCAACAGATATTTCATCAACAACATGAGATCTTGAGGCAAAACACCCAGATACTCCGCCAGGAACAGGAGCAGCATGACTAGCATGTTACCCTCTCCGAGGAGGTCACTAGGCTCAGCGACACTACTGAGTGGCTGACCTACAACATGCGTGACTACTGGTCACATCACAACTGGGTCCCTCCTGACACACCTGATGACGGATAACCAGGACACTGATCTCATCTCTCAACCACCATTTCCATCATATTGTCTTTTATTTTTATTGTTTTTCTTTTTGTGAATCTAACTTGTGTGAAGATTATGTAACCAAAAGCGCGACATCGTCCTTCCACGGGGACGCCGACAAACTGAAATGGTCGTAACCACTGAAAATTTGTGGTAAATATTCCTCTCCTCAATTTAAATACGTCCATTGAGGACAATGCACATTTCAAGTGTGGGGGGTATTTCGTTCAATTGTTTTCATATATTATGACAAAGAATTATTGTGATTTGTGTTTTCAATGATCTCAACACAAAAAAAGGTTTGAAAAGATCATAAAAAAATCAAATATAAATACTAAAAAGAGTGTTTTATTTTTAGTCTCATCTTTGTCTAAAATTGGTATAAGAATAGTGCAATTTGGATGCATGTCAACCTATAATGACGACTCAGGGATTAAAACAAATGTTTCTCGTGCTACCCATTCTTTGATGGCAAGATGAAATCTTGAAAAATAAATTTATCATCTTAGATTGTTGTTTCATAATGTTTGGGAAGCATAACATGAGAAACCGAGCATATAGTAAACCACGTGAGACTTGAGCAAGATCGCTTCTTTTTTGTGAGTTAGATCCCTCTCTGTGCATGATGATATGCTTGAGATAGGGAGAAACGATTTATGCAAGTGAATTTTTCAAAAATAGAATTGTTGGCCACTCGAACAAAAAAAAAATAACAAAGAAAAGAAAAAAAGTGATAGAGTTGGGCACCATCTTTCATGCACTTACATTAAATAGGAGTCATTCTTCAAAAGACACATTGGTTACACTTTAAAACTTCTATTGATTCTCAAAATGTTCTCCCTTGTCTATATTTTCATCTTATAAGGGAAGAAGAAAAGTCATGGTTTTCAGTGTGGAAAATTTTTGGAACCTTGAACTTACCACCAGACTAAAAGAACTTCCACATGTTCGTACCCCTAGCCCCATTTGACACCCGATCAAAGACCTACCTGACAAGTCAGTGGTAACACACCTTTGGAGACTTGAACAACAAGCTCATGACAAAGAGATGGTAGAGAAAGAGTGATAATTACATGCTACACGCAATTACCCTGGCCCCATTGGTCAAGTGAGAGAGACTTTCCAAGTTCAAAAATCCCAAGTAAGATCTATTTGCCCGATCTTTCATGCTATGTTTTGTAAACCCTATGCTTGGACAATTGATTGTGCTAAATAACTAATAAAGATAAAAGAATGTTCTTATAAATATGATTCAGAGTTGCCCATGTCACAGGAGTATTATGATCGAATGTCGTTTGTGGTGGTTGAAACCATCCATGTCACACTACCTATTGCATCATTTTTAGCATTCATATGAGATTCACCTTTTCCAAACTTTCGGTTGGAGTTTTGTGTGAAATTGGTTTTGATTGAACTTAGATTTTTCGTGCTTTGCTTGAGGGCAAGCAAAGGATTAAGTGTGAGGGAATTTGATGACACCTAAAATACACATTTTTCACCAACACATTTATATCCTAAAATGACCTAAATTATATTAAGTTCATCCGATTTTCCAGTTTTAGGCTTGGCTTTGTGTTTGAGTATTGTTCAGCGCATTATATCCAAAAGAAACAAAAGATCGAGGAACATAAAGGAAGAAAGCAAAAAGATGGTTAGCGTTCGAAATCTAGCGACGGTGGAACTCGAGCCCGCGACGTCCCGGGCGAGGGCAAAGAGCCGTACCACTCCAGCTGGGTCCCCTTTGGTGTCATTATACGAAACCTGCCCACTATTATTATGACGAGTAAAGTGACGATGCAAAGTCAAACCGCAAACTGCAGAGTCAAACTATCGCTGAGAAGTGAAGGAAAAGCTGTCAAAAGGAACAACGTGGGCAGCAACATGGCCATGTTTCGCGACCACGTCAACATCAACACACTCAGCAACATGACCATGTTCACAAACCATGTTGAGGTCAAGACACCCTGGAACACGGCTATGTTCCAGGACGTGTTCACCAGCAACACCTCCAATTTCGTGCCACGTCGAAGAAAGCATTAAACAAAGAACATGGGTGCCAACATGGCCGTGTTCCAGGCCGTGTTGGTCATCTGCCCACATCTCACATTCATTTTTTGGCAGAAGATAACATTTACGACGCTGTCGATCGCTGGATTGAACACAGTTTGTCAACAAGACCGTGTCTGGGGCGTGTCGACCTATTCCAGCACGCTTCAATCATTCAACCGACAGATTTGGCTGTCTACAAGAGAACACGGCCTGGAACACGACCGTGTTCTCTCACACGTTAAGAAGAAAACTCGCCAATCAGTCTCTGCAAGTACTTACAAGTCGTTTTGACGACCAGCTATGAACACGGCCTGTAACACGGCCATGTTCTAGAGTGTGTTCAGCCTACTGCTGCCTATAAATAGAGCCTTGAAAGAGAAGAAAGGGGACATGGAAAAAACACCCGCACTATTAGGGCTGGAAGTTTGGTACCGGTATTTTGGATATACCGAATACCGTACCGAATTTGTCTATATTTGGTATTACCAAATACACGAATTATTTCGTGGGATTGGGATTGAGATTGAATTTCAATTGTTATTTGGTATTAGGGATTACGGGATTGGGATCGGTATATACCGAAATACCAATCAATACCAAAATATAAGCTAGTGTGTATATATTTAAACAGTAAAATATAAGCTAGGAAACTCAAGACTATTTGCTTAGTCTCTTTGCCATAAATTAAACAGTAAAATCTTATTTATATATTTACTTATTAATTGCAGAGGTAATAAATTATGTATTCTAAAATACCGATTGAGATACCGAGGTACCGATTGGGATACCGAAATTATTTAGGGATTGGGATTGGGATTGATTTTAGGATGTAATTCGGTATTCGAGATTTCGGTATTTGGTATTGGGATACCGATACCGTATCGATTTCAACCCCTACTCTCTATAGACTAGAAACCAGCCCAAATTCTGTCCTCCTCATTTGTATTTCATTTTAAAGTGTTGTTTTCATTTCCCGTCAAACCTCTCATTATTTTCGTATTATAATCATCTCGTACTTCTTCCATCGTGTTCTTCACGTTCGTGTTCGTATTTGGGAATAACGTGGTATATTGCGTTATTGAGATTACCGAAGTAAGCTTTTGTTTTGTGGGGTTTTGATAATCGTATGTGGTGGTAGATTGGTCGGTTTCCACCGTCTTCGCCCAACGAATATCCCCCCGTCAGAAGTTTGCTAGGTGTAATATATTAACTCAATATACATACCATATTCTCAACCCCTCTGTTCTTCGTCATCATCGTCGTCATGGTAATGTTCTCAACCTTCTTCTTTCTAAATCTCATCATGTACGACTAATCTTCTAGTTGTTCCGGATTTGATGAACCTTAATATGTTTTACATGGATTGATATAGACGTGTTGTTCTAGTTCTTACGATCTTTTCTCGACTTATCATGTGCAAGTATCAATAGTACGTGTCTATTGTATATTTTTTTTCCTGATACATGTAAATGAAACTGCGAAGTAATTTTGCATGTTCGATCTCTCGTGAAAAGAAGGAATTGATCGGAGCCACCGATGATGGGGTCACGTAGTGCCTCTAGATTAGCTTAAAAACCTAATACAGAAATTCACAAATTTGGTTAATGCTTTGTTTAAGAGTCTTGTAAGCTACAGTTTCACTTATTTCTTAAGTCGAAAGGGTGTTAATACATGTGTGAACGGGTTAACACTAAATTTGGAATTTTCACGGTCTAAGATATGAACACTCATTTATGTTAAATTCAACTTGTCTGTAAAATGCATATTAGGGGGATTCACTTCCGGGACAACGCCTTCTCCACTTGATTTTACTTTGAACACTACTTTATTGTGTTTTTATTATTGCATGTGTTTTTATTTCTAAACGAAAACCAACTAAAAACGATTGACTAGATAATAGGTAAAAGCTGAGTACTAGTACAAGAAGTCTCTGTGGATACGACCTTGCTTCGTGCTATACTACCTTAGATCGATAGGTACCCTTGCCTATTTTTCCTATGTTAGTTACGGGCGATCAAGTGCCATCCTAATGCCTTTAGTTCTTATGACATGAGATTGGTGATCGACATGTTCCATAGCCCTTTTGCATGCAATCCTTAGAGGTTGAGGGAAAGGGAAGTCAAAGATCGCGGTTGAGGAAGAGGTACCTCCCAACAAGTGCGTCTTTAAAGTCAGGTCGCTGGACTCTCCAAGATGAGTCGATTACGGGTGGTAGTATCCCCTCGATCATTGTTGTCATCATACACTCTTTTGTCATGGAGATCGAGGTGTAGGCCATGTAGTCTTTCGTTACCTTCTTCCGTCGATAGTTTTAAGGGTAACCTTCCTATTTACTCTCGCTCCATGGCGCTGCCCATATGTGACTCTTCCTTGGGGATAATAGATATAACTTGATCGGATGCTCCCCCGAGACCAACCTTAGATATCTTGTTCTCTCCTTTAGTTATTATAGTACTAACATGCTTGGTCGTCAAAGGGCCCGGATCAAGAACATGTACCTCTTAAGAAATTCAAATTTTTGGTGGCGATGTCCTTGCATAAGGTGCAAATGCTGGAGAAGTTCACCGTTTATCACAGGAGGAGGATAACTAAGTTGTCCTCACCGTGTCCTCTTTTAACCACTTGTGATACCTCGACTTTGATTTAGGTTCAACATCAAGTACTGAATCAGTTGGACTAATAAATTGAGCCGGAATTTTGTCCCATGACATTCTGGACCCAAGTTGGAAATTTTTGAAAGGGGCAATGAGTCACTCAACCTATTCGGTGCTACCGAGCTAGGTGAGAATACCTGTTATGGTCAAGAGTACATATAAGAACTATAGTAAGCTATTTAAGACAAGGTAAGGGTATGCCTTTGAAGTTCATATACCAAGAGTGAAATCTTGACCCCAAGAAGCATGAGAATGATGAGTATGGAAGGATGAGCTCGATCAAAT